GGCCAGGGCTACAGCAGGGGCGCTGCCACACGGCCCCTCCCGCTGCACCGCCTCCTGCCGCGAGGGCTCCGCTCCAGTCGGCGGGGAGGGAAGGAAGAGGACTGCCCTGCAGGGCGCTCTGGTTCTCCTCGCCGCCGCCCCCTACAGGGCGGCCGGAGCGGAACAAGAACAATAACAACAACAAAAAAGCAACCATGCCGCCCTAGGATTGGGCAGAATGCCGCCTCCAACAATCTGCCGCACCAAGTACCAGCTTGCTCAGCTGGTGCCTGGAGCCGGCCCTGTTCCTGATTCTCTGCCTGGCCTCAGGTGCAGGTTAGAGTGACCTAGGAGCTGCCAGAGCACAACAATCCATTAAGGACAGTCTGCCAGCTAAACATAGCTAGAGCACAGTGCACTCTGGCCACACCTCCTCCCTCTCCTTTTTCACCATCTAATATCTGCCCTCTACTATAAAATTAACTTCTTATTACTTGGGCCTTAGATGTCCCCATGTCACCCCTCCCCACCCAGGGGCATAAAGAGTGGAGCAGGTGTAACCATCCCTCAGTTCCTTCACCAATACAGAATCCCAGAGGAGTAGGTCTCTGTAGTAGAAGGAAAGGAGGGCAGGTTGTGGAATCCATGTGGACAACACATCTCAAAGAACCACAGTTACTGTACTTCAAGTAACTGTTCTTTCCTCTTCTAGTGATTGTCCACATGGATTCCAGTCTTTGTGACTAACAACCAGTTATTTGTTTGCTTGGAGATGGACAGTAGGAGTCCTACTTAAACAATGATTGAAAAGTAGTCCTAACAAAGCAGGCGTGTGATCTGAGAATCTCTGCAAAACAGAAGTGTCTTGTAATGGTGTGGACTGAGATCCACATAGCTAATTTACAGTTTCATAAATAGCGATATTCTTCAAACAGGCAGCAGCAAAGGGTACCTGAGCTCTAGAGGAATGAGCCCTAATGTGGCTAGATGGATCTAACCTGGCTAACTTATAACATGTTCTTAAAAATGAGGAGACCCATTCTGAAATTGTCTGTGAAGATATGGCCTGACCTTCAACCCTTTCAGCAAAGGCCACAAACAGGGGGTAGCTGTGTTCCTGAATGATTTTATTCCTGTTGGTGGTATAATAATTCCCGTACTGTTTCAAGTGTCTGAAATTTAGCTTCTGCCAAGGCTGATTGAGGTTTGGAGAAGAAAACTGGGAGATGAATGAATTGGTTCATATGGAACTCTGAAAGAACTTTGGCCAGAAACTTGAGATAAGGCCTAACAGAAACCCTGTACTTATGGAGCACTGTAGAAGAGGGAACTCGCTTAAAGACCTGAATCTCTCCTACCCTTCCAGCTTATGTAATAGCTACTAAAAAGGCAGTCTTCACTGATAGAAACCTGCTCCCTATGCCACCTAAGGGATCAAAGTAGGGACCATCAACCCAGTTATTACAATGTGGAGGTCCCAAGAGGGAGGGGGCTCCAAAACTGGGGGAAAACATGAATAAAGAGGGTGAGAAAATACAGTATTGCCCTGGATTGCAGAGTAATGTTAAATGGCCCCTTATAGAACTGATAAGAAAGTCCCAATTGTTTCTGGGCTAGCACATAGTCCAATATTGGTGAAATGGGTCATGTCAAAGGAGACAGATGCTGCTGAGATGGACAAATAGAAAACCTCTTCCACTTAGGTTTATAAGTCTGGTTGAGGCTTTCCTGCTTTGGAGTAGAATGTTCTGAACTTCATCTGACCATCTTCTTTCAGTGGATGTCATCCAGCCAGCATGCAGGTTGCCAGATGTAATAATATTGGGCCTGGGTGTATGATGTGACCATGGTTCTGTAAGACTCTGTCAGACAGAGCAGGCAAAGTAATTGGGGATTGCACTGAGAGATTCATCATATCCAAACACCAGAACTGCTTTGCCTGTGCAGGGACTATCATGATCATCAATCCTAGATCTTGCCTCAGTTTCCTCAGGACCATCAGTATGACAGGGACCAAAGGGAAGGCCTACAGCAGTCCCAGTGCCCAAAGGATAAGAAAGACATCTGACAGGTAACCCTGACTGGATCCTCCTCTGAGGCAGAACACTTCACACTTCTTGTTGTGGTCTGCAGCAAATAGGTCTTTGGTTGTTTTACTTTCCAACTAGTTTATCAAAGTTAATTTAAAAAGACAGAAAATGGTGTATCCTTTGCTTTTTTTCTTTTTTGATGCTAAATTTGCCATTTGACAGAAGAAAAGTTTCTCTTCCTTCCTCAAACAAATTACTGATGATTTCATCCATCTTAGGCTTCACGCTTTTGGTTTATGTTGTCACCAGAAACAACTGATAGAATGATGTCCTTGTAACTCATTAAAACCTATATAGCATTCTCTAGGGTATTACCTAATTTTTCACATGCCACTTTCTAGATATATGCACAACTGCACAAAGGTGTGGTGTTAACCCTTGTCATCCTGAACTGCTAGTCATGATTAATGCATGACCAGGTAATTATTACAAAATTAATTCCATCACAATTTATTGCACGATTATCTCAATTTCCTAAACCTTTCTACAAACTCCAAGAAGCTGCCTTATTACCCATTTTTCTCCACACCAGGGAACCAAAGGAAAACAAGGAGACTGTTTTGACTAACAAGCTCCATCACTTTCTCTGCCAAGCTTTGAACACAAGTATCTGGTACAGGTGCTTTAAACTATGAAAGCCCTGTGTGCTTTCTTGACTGTTCTGCTGTTCTGCTTAATAAGGTAAAGTAACTGCAATGCCCTTAGGTTCTAGAGCTACTGTCTGGTCTGTGCATACCTACGCCATACATGTTCTGAAAACACCAAAATTCATTCATTCATTCAATAACCCATTTCTTCCCTAGCTTTATCTCCCTGTATTTGGCACATAAACACCTGTGCCCAATGTACAGCTTACAGAATAGTTTACCTAGTAAGATCATTGCTATTAGCAAGGGCCCTCTGATTCTGGTAATTGGTTAATCATGGGATGTAAAAGACAGTCAGTCTCCTGCTATAGAAACCTGATAGTTCTGTGTGCACATTGCAGTGAAAGTAGAAAACAGACCCTATACCCTCATTGTGGAATCACTCACCATCTGAATGGAAGTGGGACATTTAAGCAGAAATCCTGATGTGAAATCCTGGCATCATTGAAGTACATGAGAGTTTTGCCATTAACTTCAATGGGCCAGAATTTCGCCCCGTTCCTAGCACAGCACCAGAGAAAACAGGCCTTACAAAGGGGAACTCCATCAATACTGGGGCAAAAGAATCTTTCTTCCCTCTTAAGCCAAGACCACAGCAGCAACTTCTACATAGCTTCTATTACAGCACTGCTACTGTCTCCATATTTGCCCTAAATGAGGTTGTCAGTGGATCCACATAATCCTGAACCCACTAGCCACATTCCTTTCTTCCCCGCCTTCCTTTATCAGCAGCAACAGCGTTAGTAGTTCTTTTAGTTCAAATAAACGGAAATGGAACTGTGCAAGTAAAAATACATTTTTCAAATTAGAAAATATTTGTCACTGGCACACAAACCTTTTGTTTTTATCATATATCTATAACAAAGAAAGTAAAAGTGTGCATATGATGCCAGATACCTAAGTAATTTGCGAACTCTAACCTAAGTTTTTATTGGTCCTGAATGATACAAAAATATATTATCTTTCTTTACGGGTTAATTGTTTGTTTGAGATATAACAATTCTGTGTAGAGGAGAAAGGTAATATCACTAACATTTGGAAACTAAACCATTCTGTCAAATGACAGGGATGAGTCTAAAATCTTCAAGTTTTCTGTAGAAAATAGCCAAGTGGACACAGTGTGTGCGTATGTGTGCATGGGTGGGTTGGAGGAAAGAAATTCTTTTTTTTAAGCAAATTATTTTTAAAATGTTTTGAATAAAGGAAACAAGTGCACTGGAAAAGCAGAATGGTTTTTACTAACATGCCAACATAATCAGTTAATGTTAATCATTAATACACAGAGTACAACCTATTGTAGTTGCCAAATACAGCTCAAATTAATACATATACTTTTATCTGTTGAGCATATAAAACATGAAAAGAATATTTAATGAAAGCTTATTTGTTTCACTTTAACTTCAGCCACACAAGAGTGCAAAAAGTGCTAGAGACCAGCTAAACTGGGCAGGTAAGTATGTCTACAGATAAAATAACTTGGCTAAACTTAATCCCCAGTATAGCTCCATTGCTGCTATGGAAATGAAGGTGAGCAATGAGATTTCAAATGCTCTTGCCCAGTTAGTTAAGTTGCATTTACTTACATTGTATGACAAAGTAATATTCTTTTTATTTTTAAGTGTATTGAAAGTCTGTTCATTTTAAATTATAGTAAGGATTTCTTGTTTAAAACCAGTATTATATTTATATGTAACATACCTGACCTTTGCTAATGTCACAAATGCTTAATGTCTGTTTTAAATGTTAATGCTGTTTTGCATTTACTGTAAAATAAATGAACATGGTAAATACAAAAGTAATCTTTCTAATCATTTGCCTGATTAGATTTTTTTTTACACAAACATACTACTATTATTCTAAATAGTCTCTCGGGCAGTGACTATTGTCTTGTCAGTAGAAATATATTATTGACTCTAACCAAGTTTTATGCCCCTGGTTACATACACACACCTCTGCTTTTTTTATACCATAATCTACAAATCGGGAGTAAAAGTATTTCCTTTGTTTTTTTTTTTTCAAAAGGGATATTGAGACTGTGGTATCAGGTAAAATGCAATACATTTTTCAATAGCTTAAATGTGGTTTACCTTTTCTCTAAAAAAATCACAAAGATGCTTCCACTACCTGGGGACTTTTCCTGGCGCACACATGAACAAATTAAAGTTCTATTACATTACTCAGGTGTTAGGGGCAAGACGCTGAGAGCTGGTGGTGTTGAACCCAATTAAACTGTGTGTCAGCAGAGGTGGAGTTTACAACTGTCGTGCCTCTTTTTCAGATAAAGTATAAAGGTTCAAGAAGCATACAGTGCTCTCCACTCTAGCTGCTCTGAATCTTGTGGTGCTTTAGTTATTTAATTAAAACAAAAACCACCAATGGCATTCCAGAGCCGAAACTACCTTACTGGTACAAGCTCCATTTTCCAGCCTGTTGCACCCAGTCTAAGTGGTTCAACCTACAGGAAAACAGCTATCCGAAAGTATCAGGCGCCCAGTGTCTATGGGGGAGCTGGTGGCTATGGCACCCGCATTTCCACCAGCACTAACTATGGAGGAGGCTTTGGTGGTGGCTTTGGCAGTGGATTTCAGCTCAACACCAGTGGTAGTGACATCCTGCTTGCTGGAAATGAGAAACTGACCATGCAAAATCTGAATGACCGTTTGGCTTCCTATCTGGAGAAAGTGCATTTTCTAGAAAAAGCCAACTCCCAGCTTGAAAAGCAGATCAGGGAGTGGTATGCAAATAGCTCCTCAACTACAAGGCATGACCACAGTCCATATTTTAAAACCATTGAAGACCTCCAAAACAAGGTAAGAAATCATAAAAGTATCCATTATTTTGCGACTTTATATGCTTCTGTACTCCAATGATTAGAGAATGAAGAGAGTCAGCTAACCGTAGAATTTTTTTTTTTTTCAATTCACTGTGGCCTCACTGTAGGTTCATTAACCATTTAACTTTGGCAAGATGCAGGTTAAATTGTGATGTGATAAACTGACTGCACATTTTATATTGCTATAAAAATGTCTATGGATATGTGTAACCTAACAGTTCAAACTCTATCATAAAGGCTGAATTAATTCTTCTATAATTACAGAATATAGGGTTTTTCAGCTGTAGATTTCAAAGTGGGGCTTCCAAGAGAAGATATAATTATCCCTATTTTACAGCTGAGGCACAAAGAAGTAAAGTCACTTGGCCTAGGTCAGAGACCAGACCAGGAGTAGGGGTGAGGATAGCATTCATGTCTCCTGCCTCTCATTATATTGCCCTATCCAATTAGCCACACTCACAATTGGACTGTGAGAATATAAAACTTTTTAATTCTTTCCTCAATGTTGTTGAAGGTCGGACACTCTAAGTTAAGACACTTACCTTCATCTTAATGTAAATTATTTCAGAAGTTCTAAGTACAGAGAAGGCTTTAAAGGTTTTGAAAGTGCTGTTACAGTTTGTCATAATCAACATATGAATGGATCACCAAACATTCAATGACAAATAACATCTTTCTTAATATCACTGAATTAAAAAAAACCCAAGATAAAGTGACATTAAGAATCAGATTTATATCTACAAAAGGCAGGAAATTTAGTGTAAATGGTAAAATTCCTTTCTTAGCTCATCTTAAATTGTCTATTAAAAAGGTCTCCCAGCATCCATTAATTGTATTTATCTATGCACAAGAGGGAGTATTAAAGATAGCATTTTGGTTATCTTTATGGATTGCCATGTATTTGTCACCTTCACATCAGACTTTCAGACTTTGTTTTTCTTCTTTTGTGAGTGTGTGTTTAATCTAATCTCTTATACCTGGACAACAGTAAATAAACAGATGGTTGTTACCTGGGAGGTGCTGTTTATTGAGGAAATCTAAAAATCTCAAGTTCTCTTTGCTGTTTCATAATTCACTAATTTCCCCAAGTAATTTCAGTTGTCATTTACTATTTACACAAAAACATTAATACTTGTTAAAGTAGCAGTAAAGGAAAATGTCTCACAATTTTACATATCGGCCCCCGTGTTGCCAGTGTCACAAATATTACATTCCAAAGAGATGGTCTCTGACAGCAAGATGTTCAGCAATGTGGATTAAGATTTTAAACTTTATTTTAAAATCCAGTTCATTGTAGATCTAGAGCAGTGGTTCCCAAAGTGGGGTTCGCGAACCCCTGAGGGTTCGCAGAACGTTTCAGGGGGTTCGCAAGAAAAATTTCATTAATGGCGGCCAGAGGACTCTGCTGGGACCCAGTTGCAGGGCAGACAGCCCGAGCCCCAGGGAGAGCGGGGCCGGGCAGTTTCAGCCAGCAGCCCCAGCCCTCCCCTGTCAGCGGGGGAGCCAGCAGCCCCGAACCCCAGCACTCCATGTGGGGTGCAGGTGGCAGCTCAGATTCCTGTCCCACCTTTCTCGGTGGAAGAAAAGCTGTTTGCGAGCCAAACCAGCCAGAAGCACATTGTAGCCAGTGTAGGAGTGTTAAGGTGTCTCAGTAATTGTCCTTCTCTCTGGAGTGCTGATTTGCTTCAGTGAGTGAATCTTCTCAGTTTCTAGTTTGTTGGTTGTTAGCAGTCTCTCTCTCTGTTATTTTTATTAGAACTTTTGTACACAAGTTCAATGGATAAGTGGCTGAAAAAGGAAAGTGTAAAGACGCTGGAATCAGCTAGTGTTTCTTCAAGTCCACACTGTGGAAAATCTAAGTCTAATGATCATGATGGTCCTGGAAAGTCACTTACAAAGAAAAGAAAATATGACG